TTTTGTTTGAAGTAATACAACAATATCAGTGAAAAACAACTAACACTAAACGTGTGGATACACTAAGGGCATTATCTCATTGACTCCTCATGAAAATAAGGTGATAGGTAGAGGCCATCATTACACATTAGGGGATAAGGTCAGAGGGTCAGTGGATAACTCCTCTGCCCATTTACCCAGTCAGGGAAGAGCAGGGACTCTGGCGATCTGTCACCAGAACCCATCATTTTAAACACTAGGCTATATTGAGACTGCTGTTCCTCTTAATACAGACACACACTTGGGCCTCCCTGGTGGCGCAAGGTTGAAGACAGTGCTATCAAGCTATCGCCAGCCACTGCAGCACGAGTTCAATCCCTGGCTGGCCAGGGGGCAGCCCACAAGGCATAGCAGACCTCTCCTGTCTCACCCACTGTTCCCCTCAGCAGTGTATTTCAGTAGATTCGCCTGTTCTGTTCCCCACTCTGTGAATCCTCTCACCCCCTGCACCTCTGGCTTACAGCCCAGTTCTTGTATGCATTAATAAATAAATCTTTAAAAAAAAAAAAAGGCACACATTTCCTAATCTCTATCTTATGGTATTGTGGAAATGACCTTGAGGGATAAGCATCTAGGCTCCCATTCTGTACTCATGATGTGGGACCTGTCTGAGGTCCTATGTACAGTGAGTCACAGGGTGGGCTCTATTGCCTGATGCTTCTTGTAATACATCACAGTCCTTTTTAATTATCAATGTATTTCCCCTTGCCTTAAAATCCATCTATCATGTGCAACTATAAGTGGATTCTATAAATAAATATATTTTAAAAACTGGCACAATGTTAAACTTTGTTACATGGAGTGCTGGAGGGATTTTCTCTTCCTGGTCCCAGAGTGCCCCTTTCTCCAAGTCTAGCAGTGCATGGTCTACCCAACACCTGATGCCTGCAGTGAGTAGCCTCTTTAGTGTTTAGCGCCTACAGGACTCAGTGGCCAACAGTCCCACCTTGGGCCAACAGTCCCCTCTGAACCTCCTTGGGAAGCTTTACAGCATTTACAGAGGCAGGCACTTCCCTGTGAACAGCTCTCCCTGGGATCCCAGAAAATAGGTTTTCAGCAAATTCTGTCAACATATTACCTAAGCAACTTCATGGCCACCTAGTGAGCTCTCAAGAAAGTCTAGTGCTCAATCTTATAGATAGTGACTATTTTTCCTATGTACAAATCCTATATTCTTTAGAACTCTCCTCCTCACTAACCATTTCACAATATTTTCAATGCTCTGCTATAGTCAATAACTCTTTTTATTAAACTTTCTCTGTGCACCTGACTGTGAAATATCTGTTCCCTGGTTGGTCCCTGACCAGTACAGGAATTAATATCTGAAAATTACCTGGCACTCCATAATCATAAACAAGAGAGCAATGAAGTCAGGGCCAAAGGGAAATGTATTCTTCTTTGCTTGGTCTGTCATCTAAGTTTCATGGAATGCAAAAGAAAGGACCAATCATATTGCGCTTTTTGTAGGTGGTATCCATGATATATATAAATATTGCTTCATAATAAAAATAATTCCTGATTGTTTAATTTGAATCATTTCCCTTTCCCAGAAATGAGTACTTTTGGCCATCAGCTTTTGTGACAACAACACAACCTCACGTACACATGGCTTACATGTTTGGTCATTAAACAATCAAAGCAGGCCCTTTGACATCCACAGCAAATATTGCTATCCCTTCTTTAAACAAGCAAAACCTGTCACTGTGAGCATTAAAGAACTCTGGAGGGCAAGTGATAAACAGCAAAGCTGGGAACGAGGACTAAAACCCAAGTTTTCCAAACTCATTGTTATTTTTTCATTGCCTCCTCCATATCTCTGTTTCCTGGACAGAAGCTTTATCTTTTGCTAAGGACTCTGAAACATTAGCAAACAGGAGCGTGGGCGGGGAACCATGTGGGGCCCCACAGTGTTCTTCCAGCACTTCTCACATCACTATTGAACAGAAGAGAGCTCGTGCATGGACGAAATACCGCCAGCTCAAAACAGAGTCAGGAAACGATGGTTAGGACCAGGAGGAGCCATGAAATGGTGTTGCACATAAGCAGGGATTCCTAAGCTCCTTCTCAGCTGGGACTCAAAACTGAATGGAAAGGGAAGAGTTGGGGTGGAGATGTACAAGAGGGAGCAGTCAACAATCATTCTGATGGTCCTGTGTGATTCTAGCCAAGTTCAACGGGAGAACTTCGTGCCACCTAAGGATGCATGATGACTGCCCTCATGTGGTGGTTTCAGAGTCGCACACTGCCAAACCTGTAACGAGCCCTAGAAATCTGTGTGGTCACCCCAGCTTTGCCAACATCAGAGCACCCATAGGCCTCCACCATAGTCTGTTGTATATTCCCGTCTCCCACATTCTTATCTTCCCCCACTCTCTTCCCTCTTGGATGCCTCAGACCAATCGTCAGTTTTCAAGGGTCAGTTTTAAAGTGTGTCTTTATTTGGTCCTCTCTGTTTGGTTTCTCTATATTTCACATGTAAGTGACATGATCTGGTATTTATCTTTCTCCTTCTGACTTATTTCACTTAGCAGTCTCTCTTCCAGCTCCATTTGCTGCAAATGGCATGAGTTCATCATTTGTGGCCATTGGGCAGTATCCCATTGTGTTATATGCCACATCTTCTTGGTTCAAGCATCTGTTTTTCAGCATTTAGTTTCCATAGTATTGGCTACTGTGAATAGTGCTGAAATAAATATAGGAGTGCAGGTTTCCTTTTGAATTAGTGTTTTTGTGTCCTTTGGATACCTAGGAGTGAAACACCTGGGTCATATGGTAGTTCCATTTTAGTCTTTTAAGGAACCTCCACACAGAGTTCCGTAGGGGCTGGAACCAATCTATAATCCCACCAACAGTGTAAGAGGGTACCTTTTCCTCTACACCCTCACCAGCACTTTTTGTTCCTGGATTTTTAATATGGGCCATTCTCACAGGTATGAGGTGGTATTTCATTGTTTTGATTTGCATTCCCCTGATGATAAGTGATGATGAATATTTTTTCATGTGTCTGTTGGCCATCTGTATGTCTTCATTGGAGAAATGCCTATTTGGTTCTTCTGCCCATTTTTGATTGGATTGTTTGGTTTCTTTTTGTTGAGCTGTATGAGCTCTTTGTAGATCTTCAATATCAATCCATTGTCAGATGTATGGTGTGCAAATATTTTTCCCATTCAGTGGGTGTCTTTGTCTTAGTTACTGACTTTTTTGCTGAATAGAAGCTTCTCAGGTGTAGTCCCAGTTGTTTATATTCTCCCTTGTTTTCCTTGCTGCTGGGAACAAATCCACAAATATTTTTCTAAAGTTTATGTCATGGAGTGTTTTGCCTGTTTTCTTTTATGTATTTTACAGCTTTAGGTCTTGCATCCATGTATTTTATCCATTTTTGAGTTGTATGATGTGAGATGGTCTAGTTGATGGCAAACTTAAATTCTGTATCTATAGAAGGAACAGATCATCCATGTTTCTGTGACTGGAATATGTTCTCAACATTGGTGCTAAATCCCCTTCAGATTTCTGATGCCATTAGTTCTGTTATTCTGTTTCCCCTGCCCCCCTTTTTTTTTGAGGCCCTCACTGCTGTGAGTTTTCCTCTGCTAGGCATACCCCACCCTTCCCACACTGGGTCAGGGAACTAACTAGAGGGCAGCTGAGGGTTGCTGCTGTCAGGCAGGGCCCTATGTGGCCCTGACCAGGGTTTATACCAATTCCCAAGGTGCTAGTGGGTCATTCTGAGGTTGGTGGTGCTTCCTAAAGGACAGCTGAGGGTTACTGATATCAGTTGAGACCTGTGTGGCCCGGACTGTAGTGTGTGCCATCCCCAATGCTAAAGGCCATGGCTGAAGAGCAGTTCTCTCTGTGGCCTGGGTCCTGCATCTGCTCCCAAGGTGCTAGTGTCTGAGACAGAGGTTAAGGGTACCTCCTGAGGGTGACCGGGGAGCACCTGGGAGGGGTGACCCCGACTGGGGCCTCCTTCTGTTTCTGAGCCACTGATTGCTTGTGGAATTCACTAACAACTTGCAGTCCACAGAGACTCAGAAATGTAATTCCAAAGTCAGGGAATATCAGTGGTGCCACAGGCACAAGCCAGTCTCCTGACCACACTCCCACCAGGGTCTGGACCACTCCAGGCCTCTACCCCATGCCCTGACACAGCAGCTACAAGATAAACACAACTGTAATTTAAAACAATCTTTGGTGTTGCCTGCCCAGCAAGACAAGATTTTTCAAGAGAATGGGCTATAGTTTTTGTTAGAAGGGGGTAATTATGTTAGATGATGTAATTTTTATTTTTCTTTTAAGTCTGATTTCTATTCTTTCATCTTATTAAGAGATTCTATGAGACTAAACAATATACTTTATATTCTTCTTTTCTGATTAAATCTTCCTATAGGTACCGATATGATAGAAATTGATGATGAATTCTCTAAAATGACTTCAAATATAGATATTTATTTATTTCAATAATTTATTACCCAATCCAATAAACATAGATCTCAGATCTCATAGATCAATAAACTCTGATCTTGGAGTTTTAGCCCAAGAAAGAAAAGAACAATGAGGGGTTCATAACCCCTCCCCCCAATATACAAACATCACAGAAAATGGAGACAAGAAAATCAAAGACCTTTTCTGGGAGGAAGAGGTTCAAAACCAAGTACTCAAACCAAAATTACCAAAATCAACCTCACCAGGGGCGGGGGGTGGGTGGGGGGAGAAGGGAGTAGGATCAAAACAAGGGTGGTGGGAATTTTACAGGGAATATAACCAAGATGAAAATGCATACATTGTACAAAAATTTAAAATGATGTAAAAAAATATATAAAATAAAAATAAAATCAACCTCACCAGCCTTACAAAACTAGTTCTATCAGCATTTTCTCCTGCTAATTTTGATTTTAGAAGAAAGAAAAAGATCAGATTCCACAGCTAGTGATCCCAGAGGCTGACATGGTAAAAATGTTTACCTTTTGTCTCATTATTGTCAGGAGTCCCAGGGTCTTCCTGTGCAGCACCTATCCAGGGGTGAGCAGTGTCCAGCTGATAAAGCAGATCCCTTCATGGTTGTCCAAATGTCCAGGAGGAGAGGAACCCCTTATCCCTCTGGGTTTTCTTGGTCTAGTAAATCAATTTATATCAGGAAGGTTAGTAGCAGAAAAGAACATGTTTAATTATAAAAATAAGGATAATCTACATGGATATAGATTCTAAAGTCAAGGAGGCAAAATGGGGTTATATAGCATGAGCTAAGAAATGGTACAGGGGCCTGGGGCTTCCAAAAGACAGGAGTGGAATTTACATGATCGGGAGAAGGTGACTCATGATGATGAGATATAGTTAGATGTTTACCCTGCCATTTAGATGGGTTTCTGCACTAGACAGGTTATGTATTCTAAAAATCCTAATTTTGGATAACAGCCCCGATTTTCATTCTTCTAAGTAGTTAAGCAAATGGTACAAGTTTCTCATGAGCCTGCAGGGCCTCAATTAACTTCAGCTCAAAAAATTCCACATGTCAAAATGGTACTCTTGGGAAGTCCTGTTCTGAACATCTTGGAAGGGTCTATTGGAAATTATGGGGGTTATCTATCCTTCAAAGCAAGAGGCTCACGGGGGAATCCAGAGATCATCAAGCACAGTGTTTCCCAACTTCATGCATGTTTAAACAGAATGCTTTATTTACAATAGGTTTTAGGTGAATACTTTTGAGTAACCCCAAACTTTGCCATCCAAATCCATGAACTTTCTGCACTAAAAAGGTGCAGGTGAAACACCTGGACAGGTGTAGACAAGTGACAATCCCTGACTTAAATCAAGCAAAGATGCAAACCGAGACTCAGAGAGTAAACACTGTTAACATGCATGGTTATTTTACATTGAAAGTTGGTGCTCATTTTGGGGCTGGACCAGGGAGATATGTTATCCCTGGTGTAATTACACTGAAAAGAAAAGAACAGAGAATGTAATTCCAAATAGTACTGTTAAATAGTGGTGGCAGGATGTCCATGAGATCCCCACTGGTAGAGATTAGTAAGGTTACCCTAACTGGAACTCCAGAGAAGTGCAAGATTCTTCACCTTTACAGAAAGGTGAGAGCAGGATATAGACCATATTAGTAGGAAAATAGGGCTCTGCTCTGATTGAGCCCTAGGTTTTCTTGGGTACATAGCCTCTTCTGAACTGTGATGAGGTCGGGGTGCCCCCTGCTGGCTGGATTGCCAAAACCCTCTCTGGATTTCGTGGAACAAGGCATGAACCACAGGTGATGAAATATAAGCTCTTTCTAGCCCCCAAACTTAAAGCGATGACCAGAAATTAATTCACAACAAATTGTCAAGAAGGTCTCTTTCATATTTGGTTTATTTCAAATTGCATGGATTACAACAGTCTGCAGCACTATTGCTTTATGTTCACCTGCTACCACAGAGGCAAATGCTTAGTGTTCAGTTTACGCAGAGAAGAGTGACTCAGCCTGGATAATTCAAGGAAAACTTCATGAAAAAGAGGACATTTGAGTGAGACCTTAAAGTATGATAAATTGTCTATCTGATGTTAGGGGAAATTCATTCCAGTCTGAAGAAATAGCATAGCCACTGGGGATAAACCACGAAGCGAGGACACTCAGCTCGCTCATAGCTCTAGGGAGGGAACTGACGCTGCCACTGCAGCTTCTTCCCTAGCATGAGCCATCAGCACAGAGGGATGCCAGCTAGGGACACCCTGTTTCCCTGGATTTAGTGCCCAGCTTTGCCTGATCTTCCTGAATATTAAATCCTCTTCCTAACATAAGAAATGGCATGTTAATTATTAGAGCTGCCCCACATGAGAATGGGAAGCCGAAGAGGTGGTGAGGGTTCTAGGAAAGGAGGGATGTAAGCAGAAGTGGGAGGACCACTTGTCTAGACCCTGGTAGAAAGGAGGTTGAAGGAGGGGGAGGTTGGCCTAACAGACCCCTCAGGTCTCTGCCAGTGCTTGTGACTCGTTGTGGAAAGTAGAAGTTCCCCAGGGGCATCCAGAGGGAGAGGAGAGGGAAGGAGAGAGAAGAGGGGGTGGAGGGAGGGAGAGACCACAGTGGCCTGTGGGAGGACATGGTAGGAGTGCCAGGTGTCTACACCGGAGGGGGGGAATCCTGTGCTGTCAAAACACTGACAAAGGTGTAAAACTATGACACTTCAATAATAATAATATATAAATCATATATAAATTATATAATAAATTATATATATATTATATATAAATTTTATATAAATTTTATATAAATGATATAATTATATAAATTATTAATAATACATGACAATTATGTATTATTAATAATTTATATATTATTATAATGATTATTATATATTAATGTATAATATGTAATATAATATTTATTATATAATATTTATTATATACTTTAATAGCATAATATATAATTATATATTATTATATTTATATAATATATTATAATATATTATTAATAATACATATTAATAATATTGATATGATGATATTAATATAATAATACAATATTATTATATTATTGATAATTATATTACTATTATAATATTATTCATAATTATTATTATTGATTTTATGATGATGATGATGATGATGATTATAAAACAACCACAGGCCCTGAAAGGTTACATGATTTGTCCTAGTGAAAATGAGCCACACACAGGGCAGCTATAGCATGCAGTGTCCACAAGCATGCAGTGTCCGCGTGGACACCGAGGGGCGTGTGTGAAGTGGGTCCTGACTTCACAACAGCACAAGGACTCTAAGGCTTGCAAATGTGCATGGTGTATGCTGCTCCCGCGTCCTGCCTTCTACCAACACGTTCATCAGAAGGGTCAGGCGGACCAGCGTCCCCTCTCCACAGGGCGGCTAGAGCCATGCCGGGACAGAGCCCAGGTACAGGACAGGTCACCGTGGACTCTTCACCCACGCGCACAACTGCAACCCAGTCGGGCTCAGGGAAACAATAACAAGGTTTACTTAACAAACAGCAAACAGAGTTTCCAAGGCCACCGATGGCCCGTCTCGCACCTCAGCTAGCGTCCAGGGTGTCCAGAAGTCCCCCCCAAAGGTCACTTACCCAAGATGGCGCCCTCCTGTCCACGAGCACCTGCCGTGCGCGGCCTCGGGCAAGCAGGGCGGGAACCACCCGGCCGCAGCTGGGGCAGCTCCCAGCGGGCCCCTGAGATGACGCCGCAGCGGCCACCGCCCGAAGGGCGGGGTGGACGGCACGGACGCTGGACCCGACGGCAGCACAGGCGGCCGTGCGGAGGCGGTGCCGGGCCTACAGCCGTCACCTGGCCAGGAGCTCTGTCCCGCACCACAGGCCGGCAGCAGCCGTGGCCAGAAACAGAAGTGACCAGGAGTGACCGGCTGGCGCCTGCACGGCCTTATAGCCTCTTTCAGGGTCCCCGCCCCCCCCCACACACCTGATTGGACCAAATTTAATTCTAAGTGACCAATTGGAGAGACTGGTGGGCGCCTGGGGCGGGGCAGCCCACAGGCAGCACCTTTTTGGGCCTGCGGGAAAACCACCACGTTTTTCCAACAGTTCCCACTGCTTAGGCAGCAGTGGCGAATATACCATTCTCACCTTACAGTCCACTCTGAGGGGATTGGTTTCACCAGAGTAAACAGAAAGTTGTCTGAATTATTCTTCTGAATTTTATTTGCTGTGGCCTGATGGTCTCAACTGGACTCTGAGGTATCTCAGGACAAAGGCTGGTTCTTGTCCTGCATCCTCTTCACCGTCTTTGGTTAATACAGCAGCTGCATGATACTTGCATGTGACTCATGCTCTCCTTGGGTTCTCCAGGCGGCCTGTGCAAGTGCAAGCATGCAGTGTCCGCGTGGACGCCGAGTGGAGTGTACCAAGTGAGTCCTGACTTCACAACAGCACAAGGACGCTAAGGCTTGGAAATGTGCACTGGTGTATGCTGCTCCTGTGTCCTGCCTTCTACCAACACATCCATCAGAAGGGTCAGGTGGAGCCAGCGTCCCCTGTCCCAAGGGGACTTATCAAATGACTTATCAAGTGACTTATCAAATGGTTTATGTGATTAGGTCAGCCTTTGAATTTGTGACTTTTCCTCCTTCCCTGTCCTTGTATCCTAAAGCAAGATTCAGATCATCAGTTCTCTGCAGCTCACTCAATGCCAGGTGCTGTTGATAAACGAACCCACTCTGTTCTCAGGGTATCTCCTTCTCCCCACCATTCATTCCACCTCTGGGTTCAAATCTAGTCTCCAGAAAACCAACGATATTCTGGAAAAGTGGGAAATCTTCCCAATGTCTGTGGTGTTTGAGGCATGTCTATCAAGAGACTCACTGCACACACCAGAACTACATAGTTTAGGTTTTTAATATCCACAATGTGTGCCCAGTGCTTTTAAGGAATAATCTCTGTCCCTTGCATCTTTTAATGATTTTCTAAGCCTTTAGTATTGAATATCTCACCAACAACAAAAAAAATAAATTTTGTAATGGTACAAAAATGATGTGGAGCAATGTAATCAAGTATAAGATACTGTTCCATATTAGATTTGTTAAGATTTGTACAAATTCATAGCACTCATAATAATAAACAAAGCTATTCAACAGGGCATATATTTGAATGCATATGTTTCTGTGATTCAGCCTCATGCCAAGGTAGGTTCTGCTGGTGGATTGATCTCCAAAATCCACACAATCCAACAACAAAGAAACAAACAACCCAATTAAAACGTGGGCGAAGGACCTTGATAAACCCTTCTTTATATAAGACATTCAGATACCCTACAGACTTATCAAAAAAAGTTCAAATCACTTACTATAAGAAAAAGGCAAATTAAAACCACACTGAGATACCACCTCACCCCTGAGAGGATGACTCCTATAAAAAAGAATGGATGAGCAAATGCTTTTTATAGTTATTTTTAAGGGAAAGGGTGACCCCACCCTCTGTCTTCTGCCATGTTGTGGGTCTCTCTGCAACCTTTTAATGATGCGATCTGCAAAACTTTTTTCTGAAGAAAAATGAATAAAAATTTGAAAGTGGATGATAGTTTTCAAAGGTTGTTGCTTTTTTTCTCATACACATGAGGGATTATTTAACTATCTGATTTTATAACTTAATATACAGTTATATTAACCAAGATAGAGAGATACTGGCATATGGGTTAACGTATAGATTAAAATAGAGCAGGTAGTGATTACTAACTGTAATCTTCCCATTTACATTCAGTTGACATTCAAAGGGGGTGCTGAGAAATTTCAATAAGGGAAGAACAATCCTTTCAATAAGTGGTTCTGGGACAACTGAATATTCACACATGAAAGACTAAGGGAGACCTCTGCCTCAACCACAGACAAAAATGAATTCAAATGGGTTAACGACCTAAACATAAGAGCAAAACCTAAAGCTATTAGAAGACAAGAGGTATAGATCTTCACAGCCATGCAGTAGGCAATGGTTTGATAGTTTTGAGGCCAAAACCAGAAGCAAAAAAAATATATACACAGTTGTCATCAAAATAGCAATCCTTTGTGTGCTGAAGGCCACCACCAAGAGGGTGAAAGAACCCACAAAAGGCAAGAAAATATTTGCATATCATCTACCTGGTAACAGATGTGTACACAGGATGTGCCCCATTATAGTTGTGTGATAATGGAAAGTTACATTTGGATAGGACTTTGTTGTTTGTCAAATGTATTCTTATTTATTTACTTTCATTTACTCTTTATTACAGTCCTGGTATTACTATTATTTCCATTTTACAAATAAGGAAGTTTTCATTGCCCGACTGTTTGCATGTGGTGGAGTTCTGCCATCTGCTTTGCTACCCTCTCCCAGATCCCAAACATTTCATGATTCCATGGTAGATCTAGGTTGAACACTACCTAACATTGTCACACTACCATATTGTGCTACACCTCTACACACAAAGATTCTTGTTGTCCTGTGAAGATCTGCTTGGCAACCTGTTCTTAACTCCGACCATCTGGCTTCCCCTCAGTACATCCGAGACATTTCAATTCTCCCTTTAAAAACAGTGTCAGATAAAACAAATATTCAAGCAAACACCAGATTATTTTTATAAATACAGAAATTTCCAGAACATTAGAAATGAAGATATGTAAACTTAACAAAGGATTCTTAATCAAGTCTAGTATCGAGATTTGCATACCGGTTTGGCAACGATTACTTAAATATAAAAGATTTTTGTTTATTTTAATGAATATAATTATTTTGCTTACTTATGATTTCCCAGTGGTAAGAGCTGTGAATTATCTTATCTCAACCAACAACAATCACAAGAAGTGAACCTTTCTATTTATTTTTTCTAATCTAATTATTGACATAAAACCAAAGCATCTTTTTAAATCTACTTTTGCTTTTGCCTGATAATTATCTCTTGCTGTAAATAAGTGAGATGTAATTAATAATGGTTATATGGCAGCAATTAAAATAAGATCTGCTTCTGTTCTGTTCAGCCAGCTCTTCACATTTGACAAGATTTGATAGATGTGTTCATGGACTGGCTATTCTAAGATTCTGTTCACATCTTGAAATGATCTATTTATTTAAATGACAACTTTCAAAACCAAAGTCTTATGTAAAATAAGTTATTTGTGCACTTCAAATCATGTGAATTAAAAGTGATGAGTTTGGAGTGATAAAATCTACATCAAATAACTTTTGATCATGACAAAGCCTTGGCCTAAAAGTTATAATTGAAACTATTTTCATCTTCTAAAAAAAATAAATAAAAAATAAAAGCAGTGTCAGTTATTGACCTGGGGCAAGTGTGAGCTACCAAAGCAAGCAAGATTTGACCCAAAAACCTCACTCTCCTCTGACTTCAGGAGACTGTATAATGGATCACTTTGAAGGATAAATGCAGATAGACCTAGACCACTCCTCTCCCCTCTGCTAAATTGTGCTCTTCGCTCTGCAAAAAGAGAAAAGTAATGAGAAAGAGCATAAAAGAAGGGGAGCAAAGGAGGAGGAGGAGGGAGGAGAAGCAACAAGAAAGCAAACCCCTAGTTACATTTGTGTTTCAGAGGTGATGATGGAGCATTGGACTGACCTATCAGCTTTGACTTTGGCTCCTCACACACGTCCTGCATCTGACTCTCCCTGAAGGCTGCTCCAGAATGAGATGGCGGTGGGATGGAAGCACAGAAAGCCAGACCTAGAGAGAGAGCGATGCTAAACCCCAGAGATGTGAAATGAGCTGTCCCAGGCCACACAACTGTCAGTGGCAGGGCTAGAACTAGAACATTGAGACTAGGCCTGTCTACTTTTTTTTTAAAAGATGTATTTATTTATGCATACAAGAACTGGGGTACAGGCCAGAGGTGTGGGGGGTGAGAGGATTCACCAGAGACAGAGCAGGGAACAGAACAGGCAGAGTGACTGAAATACACTGCTGAGGGGAGCAGCGGGCGAGACAGGAGAGGTCTGCTTCGTCATGTGGGTAGCTTCCTGGCCTGCCGGGGATCGAACTCATGCTGCAGAGGCTGCGGATTGCTTCATAGTGTGGTGCTTAACCTCCTGCGCCTCATGAGATGCTTAACCTCATCTTTGAGGGAGGCCCTCAAAGACAAGTAACTTTTAAAAAAATTTCTTCTTTTTTCTTTAAAAAAATTCTTGGATGTGAGAGTCAGATAAAATTATTTTCAAATTTTATCTTGGGCTCCTTCAAAATCTGAGACAAAAAACCATCCTCACTAAAAGGCAATATAAATACATCTGACTTTGAAAATCAGGCAATCCTTTAAAAACATATTGATAAATCAGACATGCATTATCCAAGTGGTAAGGGTTCATTGAGGTTCAGCTGAATATATTCTGATGATTGGGGGCTTGTGCTGAACCCACCAAATTCCCAAAGAAGACCACAATGATCAGAGCCAGCATCATTACACAGCAAAGTCTGAACACCCCAATCTTACATCGCGGCAACTCACAGCCTGCACCTGGAGGTCATTCCATTCCTGCCTCTGCCTCCATCTTTGCCCTTATCCTCACCCAAACCAGAATCTTCCCTGCTTCTTCATGCTTGAACACAGCATATCTGGTGTTACTACACTGCCCTTCTTTCCTCCTTCTTTTATTTCTAAGAGTTTAAAAATTAAAAAAAAAAAAGTAGAAGTCCAAAGGGGAAATAGTGAGAAAGTCACTAAGTCAAGCGTAAGAGAACCAGACTCTTTCTTTTCCTGTCTGCTAATGAAGAAAATAGGAACCCTCCACTCACTGATGCCAAGTCATGTTAGCAGCTGTAGGCTTTGTGAAAGAAAAGCCACTTAGTTTATAAAAAAGAGGCAAAACATATCCCAGATTGGCCATTGGCAGCAGTGCAACACTGAGGGTTTCATCTCTACACAGGTAGGAGAATGCAGGAGGGCTGAGTGGGGAACAGAGGACACAGCTCCTATGGTCTGCTGGGAATAGGCCAAGGAAAATCAGATAACAGATGAAATGGGGGTTGCCAGTAGCCCCGCTGGTATCAGAGGCAGATTGCATTCGCTGCCTCTCCCATGAAATGAGTCACCCCCTGCAGAACCCATCACAGCTCAAGTTTAATTCGTCTTGTGGAAACCTAGGAGGAAGCATCACTCTGTCCTCCCACAGAGGGGCTGCCTGAGGCATCTGGGTGTAGAGGGAGAGGCACAGGTTACACAGCGGAAGGAGAGAATAGGGGGTGGGTCCTGTGAGAAGGGAAGGAAGGAGATTCCCAGGGGAGGGGGCAGTGAAGCCAAAGGTGATCTGGTTCCAGGGCAAGAGGTGGTGGCTGAAGTCCAAGCCTCGTGGGTCCATCTGTGACAAGGCTCGGGGACACCTTCTGCTGCTACTCCTCACTACCAGCCTCTTCATCACTGTCCCCACTTAGAGGAAAGTCCCTCCTGGGCTTCTGAGTTACATACATCCGGGTCTCCATGGGACAGTCCTGGCTTAGAATTGCCTGCAGTAAGAGAGAGGAAGAGAAATCACTGCACATCTTTTACTAGACTCCTGTCCTTTCCTCCATGTCTAGTGTTCAGGACGGGCTCAAGAAATAAGCACAGACCCTCTCTGCTTCTGGCTCACGGGGCACCTAGGTTAGGAGCCAGTCCAAACAAACATCTGGTATGGTTTTAACTGAATACTAACAGTGGTAGTGCAAGCTGTAGCTGGGGACCTGCTGAAATCAGCACCCTCCCCTGTCAGACCTTCCTGCCTTCTTTTGTTCCCCTGAACAGACTTCACATCTGCCCCGAATGCACCCACATCCTCAGGGTGTTCATGATGCAGTAAGAGGAAAGTGCCTTATTGACTAGTGTGTTAGAGTTATCTTACCCCTGCATTCTGTACTTTAAGAGATGACCTGGTAAAGATAATGGCAGACAAGTTGAATGAATGAATTGGTGCAGTGAAATTCTGACAATTTGGGGGAAACAGTCAAGTGACTTACACTTTACTAGTAACTACAGGACCTACAGGATACCTTTGGTGACTCTATACCAACTGCCCTTCTTTACAGGGGACCGCTCCCAACAACCCAGGGTAAGAGGGAATGTGGTTATACAGAGAAGGGAAGATAAAGATACAAATGAAAGATACAGATGAAATGGAGATCAGAAAGCATGGCAAAGCACAGAGACTACCAAAGAGAGGGAAAGAAAATCACAAAATAAGAAAGAATGAGAGAAACACAGAAAGAAACAGAAGACTTTTTTTTCTGTGACGGTAATAAGAGCCCTCACAAGCTTCTCCTCCTTGGCTGGGGGGTTCCTCAGGGAGTAGCAGAGAGGGGCATAGCAGATGTTGATGACCCCAATGATGACCATGAGCCAGGGGAAGCCGATGGCATGCACAATGGCACCTCCAGTGGATGGGCCTGTGAGAAATAAATCAAATACAGTGTTTATTAAACCTTGCTCAGACTTAAGACATCATGCCAGGGGCCATGGGTTATCCAGAGGTTGTCCCAGGGACAAATATCTCCAGAACTCTAGGAGCGTCAGCCTCCTGGCTCCACTTTCAGGTGGCAAACAGTAGGTAAGAGAGAATGGGACACCAGGTCCTGGCTGTTCCCATCTCCCCTCATTAACATACCTATAGCAAAGCCCATGCAGAAAGCCACATCAGCGATGGAATAGACACTCCCATACACCGAGGTGTGGCGCAGGTCAACCAGGTAGCCCATGATTGGCATCATAGCAGAATCCACCATGCCTGAGGCGAGAGCAAACACAGCCTGTCAGTTCTATGCACAGTCCCCTTCACACAGTCTGTGGCACCTTCTTCCTCTTCCTCCCCTTGCTCTACAACTTTTGCTTACTGTCTTCCCACTCAGCACCAACACACATTTCAGGTAGAAACTATGAGCTCAAGTTTGCATATGCCTGGGAGCCACCTTCTGCTTTTCCATACACCTCCTCTTAACTGACCCAAAGCAACATTCGGGGACTTCCTATTTCCCTTAAGGGCACTTCTTACCTATGGCAAAGCCAAGACCTGCATTGGGGCCAATGAGACCAAAAATAGTATGAGCCAGAGGAACCTGCAGCAGGGAGAAAGAGCTCATCAAATATCCAGCTGGATCAAGTGAGGGCAGCAGAAAAACAAAGAATTTTCATATGGAATGCATTAATTAACCACGTGCTACTGATAGATTATCTGGAATTCCCTTTATGATATTCTAGCAAAAGTTACAGAGCTAATAAGTAGCAAGATCATGTCTGAACCTCAGATTTGACTCCATTATTCCATAAAAATGATCCTTTTCTGTTGCATGAACTCTATACCCTTCCCCCACCTGAACACACACTTCTGTCCTCATTCTTTACTGAATACGGTTTCTTTTCTTTTTCACTAGCAACATCATCTAAAGGTTTTACTTAAACCCTAAGTAGCCACTGAGGGAAGAAGACATAGAGGAGACAAGGACAATCAATCACCCACGATGTGGAAGGGATGGGGGCAGGGGGATGAGAAGGGGCATGGTTTGGGGCGCCACGTCAGCAAACAAGAAATGAATTCTCATTATCCTTCCAAATCCTTCGCCGAAAGCTTCACTTTTGCTTGTTCCTTCTCTCCCTCCCTGGGCATGGTGCCCAAGCCTGCCACCCCAACACTCACCCTCCGAAGTTCAACATACCATATAGATGCTGGTGGTCAATTACCATTTTAGGGCTGATTCCTCAAGGGGTATTTGTATTTTGTCAATAACGTTGACCAAGATTTACTGCAGACCCATTATGTGCCAGATGCTGCTGGGGTTTATGTGAATTATCTTGACAATGCAGACACTCTCAGAAGCCTCTCTACACAGATGAGTGCATGGACAGAGGTGGTGATGGAATGAGCTCAAAGTCACATGAGCAGCAAATGGCAAAGCTGGGACTGAAACTGGAGCTGTTTCTCCTCGTCAGGGCCTCGGGACTTTCTTGAGCCCTGTGCTCAAGGCTTCACAGCCCTGTCTGCCTCTCCCACAAGCTTGGGAGGCAAGGGTGCTTAAGACTCCCAGGACAGGGAGAAAATGAGAATTTAGTGAGCTCTTTCTTTCCCTGTCCAAACATTCTGATGCCAGAGACTGAGACATAGGGGGTGATTCCTCTATTGGTTTATGGGGTCCTGTCAGGAAGGATGAATAAATAAAATAAAATGCACCATTTTGCTGACCCCAGAAATAGATACCAAGAGATATGTATTGCTTCATATGCCTAGCAGTCTGAGACTGCTGATTCCAGCTGCTCCATTGCTCTCTTCTCCTTCCTCACCTCTGTTTAGTAGGGTGACCGATAGCATCTCCCACAAGGCTAAATTCCTTCCTATGCAGAAATGGCCAGACAGTCCTTGCCGAGTCAACCTTCTGCTCATTTTAAAGTCTCTCTCTCTCTCTCTCTCTCTCTCTCTCCTAGAACCAAGAATACTTACACAGAGCAAGCTGGTACCTATGACCAACATCCCAATCAGAGAGCACAGCCACCTGGGAGGAAACAGTTGTTATAAATATGGCTCAGAGGAGAGATCCTTCCACCTGTGAGGCCATCACCACCACACTGGCCTGTCCTACTGCCCCTAATTCCAGGAACCCATTGGTATGGGAGAAGATGAAGGTATTTCTGCACGAATCAGTCCTGTCCTTGCCCTTTCCTTGTCCTTTATCTTCTTCCCTGGCTCTGTACCCATTTCCAGAGTAAAGACAGGAAGGTGCAGTAGGACATATCCTTCCTACCCTTAGAAATAGGAAAAAGCTGGCTCAGTGATCAGGTCAGGGCCATCATTTTACCACACTCACTGCTGCCCTCATCACTCACCGCCCCATCCTCCCCATGGGCAGATTGTATCAGTGTGTACTTGTCCTAAACTTTGAGTGCTAAAGAATCTAGGATGGTAAAGATATCTAGAATGTCCTGAGTCCAGCAACATCCTTCAAGGCCTGCCCATCTTACATTCCCATTGCTCTTTCCAGATCTCCAGGTTACCTACCGACCCATCTTGTTGGCCAACACACCAAAGAGGTTGGTGCCAATGAGGTAGGACATACTGGCAGGCAAGAAGGCCAGACCTGTGGAGAGACAGAGGACCTCACCTTGGACATGTCCAGCTTACTCTAAATGTCATGTTTTCCACAAGACAGTAAAGTGCCCCTGCTACCTTCAAGGATCCCAAAGCACATTGTGGCCTAGAGAGCTTTGTGTAAACCCACAGCAGATGATGTTGGGCCCCACAACTCTGCTTTCCTCAGGAGCAGAGCTTGGTTTAGCTTCAATGTGTTTCATGTGCTTCCAGCTTCCCCTAGGCTTCCTGACAACTGGCTCTGATGAGCCATTCTCACATATAAAATATTAAATCAACATAAGGACATGAGCTTTAAAGAAAGACATTTTTGTTTTCTACTTTTGTTTTCTACTGATCTCCATTGATCTGGTGGTGACCTTGGCTAAGGCACTAATCATTTCTGAGCTTTGGTGTTCACATCTGGGATAAATAAAGTATGATTCTATCATACAGGCTTACTCTAAGGAGCAAACTAGATAACATGTGTAAAAGTATTTGTAAACTGAAGGCCTGGTCATGTTGCTTTCTGTGACAGTTGAGTCATATGTTCTGGATCATGGGTTTTGGATCCACACACTTATGGCTTGGCCGTTTGTTAGCTCTATGACCATGGGAAATTTACTTACCCTGCGTGTCAATTATTCATTCAGTACTTTCCATGCACTTTTGCTAGGTACAGGTACTCTAGCAGCTAGTAATAAGGGATGAATAGAATAGACAAAATCCTAGCTCTTTGGAGTTTAAATGTCAGGAGAGGTGACAGGTAAAAAACAAATAAATAAATGAAAAAGATGAAAAAAATTACAGTGATAAGTTGTGGCGATTTGGCAGAAGGACCAAGAATAGGGGCTAATTTAGATGTAAGGGATAGGGAAGGCATCTTTGATGAGGTGATATTTAAGCTGACACCTAAATTAAATAAATACATTTATTTAACTAAATTAAATTTGATTAATTAAATAAAATCTAATGCAAATACAAAGACATTTAAAAAAAAACAGTCTGTTGAGCAATAGAAAAGATGTCTGTGTGGATAAAACACAATTAGTAAAGTAAAATGATAGAAAATTCATAACTTGGAAGTGGGCAGATGACTGCAATGAAAAGGGATTGAGTCTCAAAGGAGTTGGGGCTCCTTGTAGAATGAAGAAGAAATCAGGCTGAAGTAGGTGAGAATAGAAAAGTCTGAAAAAACATGTACTTCCATCAAGAAGACTGTAGGAAAACTGTGTTCACAGGAAATGTTCAAAGAAGAGGCTGAGGACATAGGCTCACTTGACAAGGATCAGAGAGTTCCATGAGGCCCAGGATTTGGGCAATTGGAAATTGGGTCAGAATAAGAAATCTCTGAAATGTTAATAATGACCACTTGTATTCCTATTTATTGTAATAAAAATAATCTAATATTCCTATTTATTATAATACAAATAATTTCACCAGATAGGCTGGTTGTGAGGCTATATGAGATATCACAGATCAACCATTTTGCACAGTGCTTGGCACAGATTAAAAGTCCTGAGTAGCAACCTTAACTATTATCATTACAACCAGTGAGTAGCAGGGCAGGACTTGAACACACGCCTTCTCAATCTGCCTCCAGGTGTCCCCACTTTTCCACACCACCAATGTGGCAGCACAGATGGCTCTGCTGGTACAAGGGACTACGTAGGCACAATCCACGTAGTTCTTGGGGTCTCACCAGCTTCCCTGCTTCTGTTTCCAAAATAAACAGTACTACCTAATAGAAACTGTAATGAAGATTCCAGTTAAACCCAAAGTCAACAATTCATCAGTTACTGGGTGACAGCTTGTTTGCTTTTAATATTCTCATCTATGGGATGAAAGAGAAGCACACCTCTGTGTATTTGCCTAGCCTGTCTGTATGAGGTAGCAATCTATTTCAAACTGTACCAATTTGTTTATGCTTAACTGCTTTAAACATTTAGAAGTTATAGCTACTCAATGGTGTACCTGATAGGGAGAAGCCGCACCTTGAGGAAATCCACTAGCTTCCTAGATACATCTCCGTGACATTTTAAATGATGTAGAATTTCTTGAATGAGATTTTCTTCAGTGAATGTGCCTGGTCCTTTAGAACATATTATAGCTTGAATTTCAGAGATATTTTGTGCAAAATAGGTGTTCTAGACTATATGTTTACGGACACATATTTTTTACAGTATATCTTCAAGGAGTGAGGGATTGCGCATCACTGTGACTGTCAATACGGTTTAAGCAAAACAATTAATGAAAATAGCAATAATTTTTATTTACTGATTATATCCTGTATTCCATGCACGTGCTATTCTCTTTATCATACATAGATCTATCAAATCCTCAAAACAATGCTGAAAATTATCTCTGCATTTACAAGTATCTTCTTATTTACAAATGAAAACAGTAGAGTTCAGAGAGGTTAAATGACCTATCCAAGGTCACAATTAGTCAGTGAGGATCCAAATCTAGGGGGCCTGTTTCCTCTAGTCTGGAGAATACTGGACAGACTATGAGCCACTTAGAAAGTGCTGGATCACAGACTCCAAAGTGCTCTCCTTGCTCCTCCCAACACCCTTGGGAGGAGTTCTGCATTTAGAACACTGATTTTCAAAGTGTGGTTGGTTGCTATCACATCATCGGGAAACTTAGAGCAATGCAAACTTGTACCTACTGGGTGGAGTCCAGCAATCTGAGTTTTAAGAAGCTCTCCAGGTGACAGAGAACCTCTGAAGATGCAGACAGCACTGAGGAAAGTTCTAAGAGCCAGCAGGAGATAAAACCTTCTCCATGCTCTGGCTTCCTCTCCTGAGGACTTTCTACTGACCCTGATCCATTAAAGGGGCTTCCTGCAATCGGCCTACCGACTATCTTTGGGTCTCAATAGTTTCTCTCTGCCTCTCCATGCCTAGAGGAAACGGTGTTGCCTGATAGGAACCTGGGAATTCCAAACAAAGCCAAAGTTAACAATATTCTCTCCTGTTGATAAAGAAGGGCTGGGAAAAGACAGCTGGGTAGGTATCCAGCTGCATCAGGAGCTTTGTATGGCCCAGCCTTGGGGCGGGGGGCCTCATTTGCAGCAAGCGCCAACTAATTCAATTAACTGTCATGGTCAGAGGCAGCTGCAGCCCAGAAAAAAATTAAATTTGGGAGTTGGAGTGCGCCTGGGAGCCTTGCTTAGAACTGTTCTCTAAAAAATTAGATTTAGTGCTAATTTTATTGCATGCTGAGTTATATTAGGTCCTTATCAGCGTCCCTTCTGGTCCCATAAACCTCTCTTCCCTGTGATAACTGAGCAATTGGCAGGTAGCCTTCCCTGTCCCTTTTCCTCAGGCTTTCTGGAAAGAGCAGGAGTCTCCTTTCTAAGCTCAGATCAGTCATGGTGACCGCTCTTCAGGGCACAGAAGGCTGGAAGCCCTTCTCAGAACAACACACTCCACCAGCTCCTTTTTAGAGGCAAAAAACTAGCACAATAGTAGCTTGGGGAAAGGGGATGGAAGAGAAAAAAGTGTGGATGGCAATTTAATATTCCACAAATACAGAGCATTTCCTCATGTTATATCACTAATTCTTTAATTTAATCTTAGGACTAGATAGTTTTCTGATTGCCCAGTTTAGAGGTGAGGAAAGTCAGGCTCAGAAAGTTTATATGGGCCTCCCTGGTGGCGCAAAGGGTTAAGCACCACACTATGAAGCAATCCGAGGCCTCTGCAGCATGAGTTCAATCCCTGGCCAGGCAGGGAGCAACCCACATGGCGAAGCAGACCTCTCCTGTCTCACCCGCTGCTCCCCTCAGCAGTGTATTTCAGTCAGTCTGCCTGTTCTGCTCCCCTCTCACCCCCCGCATCTCTGGCCTGTACCCCAGCTCTTATATGCATAAACAAATAAATCTTAAATTAAAAAAAAATTTTTAAAAAAAGAAAGTTTATATGATTTGCCCAAGCTTGCACAGACAGTCAGTGAAGCCAAAACAAAAACCTGTCTTTTGACTACAAATCCTTAATCATCTTACCACACAGCCAGGTATGTGGCCACACCACAGCTGTGTTTACCCCCTCCCACGCTGTCCTTTTGGGGCAGCTTCTCAACTGGGTTTGATTTACATGTACAGGCCTGGAAAGTAATTCTATGAAGGACACATATTTTTCCTCTGTGACCCTGAAAACCAGGACTGGATGATGCATCTCAGTTACCTGAAAAAGGCCATGGCACACATGTCCAAGCCTGAGCTGGGGACCGAAGTCACTTACCGAGCTGCCACTCAGGGGAGCACATGGTCTTCATCATCCAGATGGGCAGCGTGGGTTCCAGCATGGCCACTCCCATGTTGGCAAAGCAGATGGAGCCTGGGGAGAAAGTTCTGTGAGTCACTGTGATTGCCCAGAAGCCCAAACCTTCTCAGCACAAAGGGAGGCATTACCAGCTTACCTGCAGCCACCAGAATATAAGGGTCTTTGAGAAGTATGAGCAGTGGAGTCCCCTTGGCACTCTGAGAACAACAAACTCCCACTGTACAATATATACCTTTCTACTATTTTTGTAGATTCTGAAAATGTGCTGATAGGACATTGGAGACCATCTATGTCAGCTTCTTTACTATAGAGACTAACACCCCAGCCAAGAGTGATTTGCTCGGTATCACAGAGAGAGTGAACACCTGTGTGCAAGGCAGGCGCTGTAGGACATACAAAGACTGGAACAATGTATTCCAGATTCTTGCCTTCAAACAACTGTGAGCCAGATCAGAGTGGATTGTGAGAGAGGCCTGCATTGAGCACAGGTGTCTGGACTCCTGTCTCAGGCCTTCTGATAGATCTCACTGGCAGTAATGCTCATCCTGACAGAACCACAGGCAGTGCTCAAAGGTGAGGACAGCTCAAGCCTCCTGAATTCTTTGTTCTGACCATGTTGGGTCTTACTGGACTGTCTTCTGATTTTGATTGACATGTATACCTTCTCTGAGGTTTCTTTGATTCTTCAAAGATGGAGACCCTTCCTTCATGATTGTCCTACATCAAGTCAGACTCCCTGGACATGCCCCACACCACCCTAGATAGGATCTTACCTAATAATCCAAGTGTAGTCCTCATTCCCCCTCACTCTGCTCCCCTGCACTTTCTTCTTATGGTTTGACGGGGAGGATCTAGTGACAGCGGGGCCCCTGCATTTAGACATTCTGTGTATCTCTTGGCAAAGGAGCTTGGTGTCTACTTACCTCAGGAGAGACTTTGGAAGGTTGTAGGATGCAAAGTTGGAGTGCTAAGATAGAGAGAGAGAAACCGTTCCATTTGTCCACTGACCAGCTACAGCCTCAGTAACAGGCACATTGCTCCTTCCCTGCTACCACCGATCTGACTCTACGTTTCCTCCTTCTTTCTTAAGATGGGACAGTCCTTAATTCATTCAAGAATGTCAAGACTGACACCACAGAATAATTATTCTCAGCTTGCCCTAGACCGTTGCCTGTCTGGTGGTCTCACAGAGACCTTTTTTTTAAGATTTATTTATTTATGCACACAAGAACTGGGGTATAGGCCAGAGGCGTGGGGTGGGGGGGTGAAAGGATTCACCAGAGACAGACTAGGGAACACAACAGGCAGACTGACGGAAATATACTGCTGAAGGGAGCAGCGGGCAAGACAGGAGAGGTCTGCTGCACCATGTGGGCTGCTCCCTGGCCAGCCAGGGTTCGAACTCGTGCTGCAGAGGCTGCAGATTGCTTCAAAGAGCTGTGCTTAACCCCTTGAGCCACAAGTGAGGCCCTCTCACAGAGACTTACCTCCATCCAGGAGTGCCAGGAAGGCCAAGATGAGGAAGGGTGCAGACTTCCCAACAAATCCATACATCACACTTCCAAAGGGAGCTCCCACTGGGAAAGGCAAGGCAGGCTCAGATTCCAGAGGCAAGGCCTGATCCCCAACCAGTGCAATTTTTCCACATTTACCCAAAGAGTATTTACTGATGTCTACTAAGGACTGAGCTCCACATGATTATGGTGATTCAGAGACAGAGAAGACCTGGATCCAAGGGGCTCACTTTCTACTGAAGGAAATGGAGAGGAGGAGGCACAAATTATTAGAACATGGCAAAATGTCAAGTTCAACAGTAAAATTTCTATCTAAAAAGTGCTATTCACGCACAGCAGAGAGAGTCAGAAAGTTCAGGAAGCTGCAGGGGTAGTTAGTGAAGACATGTGAGAGATGGATCTCAATGAGAATACAACCTTATAGTTTGGAGCTTGGGATTTAAACTCAGAAAGTCTAAGCATCCTGGTTTCTGTCATTTCCTGGCAGTATGACCTTGGCCAGGTCTATGACAACTTATACTTAAACTTTCTTATCCTCATCTCTATCACTGAGGCAATCACTCCTTTTTTATAAAGTGGTAAGGAGGATTAAAGGACATTATGTCTATCATGTGTTTAGCACAGAGTCTGACAAAGAGCAAGTTCTCTTGCTAAGAGCCCTGACCATAGACAGAAGCAGAGGTAATCAGTGCTGCAGACATGGGGAGCTTCTCTCGAATAGAATAGGTTTCTGGACCTTCCCCTGCCCCCTTATGATCTGGTCAGCTTCTTAAGGAGAAAGAAGTTTTTGTCTTTTCCTGGAAAAATTTCCAGGAGTATTCAAAATATGTTGAGCAGAGACAGAAGGAAAATACTTTTTTCCCATGACCTCAGGAACACCTTTCTCCTGGAGCCATCTTTGGAGAGTGTGTGGTACCCCAGCTTCATGAACCCAAATATGAGGCCAGGTGCCACTTACCCAACACTCCTAAAGCTAAGCCTCCCAGCGCAATTCCCATGGCACGTCCTCTCTCATAGTCATCAGTGTAGACACTGGCTAGCATCCCAAGACCTGAACAGTGACAGATGGAGTTAGCATACTGGAAATTTCTGCAAAGGTCCATGGTCTCTATCTATGTCTATTTTATCTTCAAGGATCTTAGTTTTAGTTTGAGGGGATTTTAAAACCTAAACTACAGTATTTTACAAATACTGCCCCTACAGGTACCCCAAAGTCCCACATTAGTCAGGCTCTCTATTCAGAATATTGTTGGAGGAGAAAATATCTCTGGGAAAGGAGGCACAGAATACCAATGATACTATATTTCATATCATTGCATCACTTCTTAGCACTTTTTCCTAAATGATGGGATATGGAGTAGGTGAAGTAAAGGAAAATCTATGAACACAAAGGCCTGTTCTACTCAAGGGGCTTGCCTGAGAGAGTATGGAAGGCAGGACACCTGGAAGAAATTGTGGGCTGTGATCTCGTCTCTATTTACTCATGTGGAAAATGGCATAAAATATATACTTTATAGGATTGCTCTAAATCTTGTACTTGACAATATTTTGCAAAGAGTGAGAATGCTACTAGCATTATTAACATCACTGTTCCTAGAAAATGTTGAGAGGAATAGACAAAAGTACCATAGAGTAGCACTAAATAAAATCCAAACATCATGGTTTCAACTTGGGCTTGCTCTGATATGAGCTGGCTGCATCTAAATACAAGCAGAAGACGTTCTCTTACGCTTAGGCATTTACAGACCCTGCTAAGAAATATACATTTATCTAGTTTCTGAAACACAAATTCTGCCTTTTAGGATGATACTTTTCTTAAGCTCTTCGTATAAATCTTATAGGGTATGACATTAGTAAAATATGGTAAGAGAAGTGTGCTTGTGTATTTGTATGCTGGAGACCTCAGTGTTACCTGCAACGGATGAAAATGAAGATCCAATGCCTTGAAGGGTGCGGGCCAAAAAGAGCAGGGTGTAGGTGCCAGAAAATGCAAACACTGAACAAAGAGAATAGCGAGAATCATTCAGTTCACAAATTGCTTTTTGTTCCCCAGCCACCAGAAAATGTACACAGTATAGCAGATATGATCCATTGTGCATATGTTTTAATAAAGCATGATTACAGATAACTCTTTTTAGTGCTCTTTCTAATCTCTCACCCCTTAATGGGGCTGCATTTTCATTATCATGAAGACTGAGAAACCACAGAAGCAAAAATCTATTCACCACACAGTGGATGGGATTGTGGGTTTCCTACTTCCCACCAAAAGTCCTACATCCTGCTCACTGGATTCAGGATTTTCTATGAAGTGTAATATTCTATCCTTAAACCCTATTTATGACTCTTCCCTATGCAACATTCAATTTAATCATGGAGTCACCTGTATAATGGAAACAAAAGTCATGCATTTCAAGGACAGTAGGCAATCAATAGAAAATAAGACCTTGTGATCTAGTCAAATTCTTCCCCTTCACTTATATTAGAAGCTTTTGAGACAAATCTGTGAGTATTTACTAAGTAATGTTCAACATGGAGCTATGCTAGTTTCTGTACCCGATTGAAATAGACAGCAAATATCCAGTTCCTGCCCTTCAAGAAGTTCAGCCTGCTAGAGACTCACATACAAAAAACTGAGAACCAAACAGGCATATGTCATCAAAAACTAAATTACAGAGTGTTGGTAAGTACAGACATGTCTCACCTCCAATTCCAAGACAATGACCCCAAACAGAGAAGACTCCCTACCTAAGTATTTGAGTCAGGAGAATATGAATTCCTTTGCCTATTTATTATAGATGTCTTGGGTTGTGCTTATAATCTCCTCCCATTATTTCCTGAGATAATCACACTGTCTCCTAAACATGCATATTCTTGGTATTTCCTTGCTGGGCCTCCACTGCCCTCTCTCAGCCTTTTTTTCACTTACTGTTTTTAGTTCATCTTCATTTTCTTGGCAACATTTATGTGATATTGGAAAGACTATTTCTCTTTCTCTTTCTTATTTCTTTAGTAAATTTGCTTTCCTAAGCTATATCCTTTAATGTCATTACTTAAGGCAGTAGACATTTTAAAATTTTCCAGTTGTTATTGTCCAAATTTGATTCTTGTTAGGATTTTTTATTAGATCCCCTTTTGCATATCAAAATAAGATGACCTCTTCCCAGAGGTGGAACATCTGTACTAAATCCCCTTAGGGATTACAGATACATACATACAAACACACCTACAACTATATGTGTATTAAAACAGCCCTCAAACTTATCTCCAGCTGATTGAACGTATTTATTCTCTATAGCAGGAGATACAACTTCCAACTAGACTTCAGTTACCACAACTGCACTAGTGCAAAGTATTTAAATCATTATCATATACTACTCAGTCTGATGCCTAATTACTTAGGCATGTGATAGAAGTAAAGGTAAGGAGTGAAAGAAAGAAAAGCAGAAGCAAATTACTTACTAACTGTGGAGATAAACAGGATAACAAAACCAGCAAACATAGGAATGTGATATCCAATCCTAAAAGTGAATTTAAAAAAGATAAATCTCTAGCAGACATTCTTATACTTGAATTATATGTTTTTCATTTAACTGGGAACAGAAATGTAGTTATCTGTGTACATGGTAAAACATCTCTCAATGCAGGTATAAAGATAGGACATGTCACATGAAAGCAAGTAAGCCAGCATGCAAATTTACCTACAAGGCAGCACCGGAATCCACTTTACCAGAAAGGGTAATCCACTTTACCAGAAAGGGTAATCTGGCTATATAAACCAAACACAATTACTAAGAAGCCAGTGCTCTAGATTGCATTAGGTCTCATTCCCACCCTCATTCCATCACAGATGTAGTTCCAGGGCACTGAAATAACATCAACAGTGTACTATTCATCGGATTTCTTATTGGTACTCAGTAGTCATACATTACTAAGAAAATCTGAAGCCCTTGACATTTCACCAGCTTTCTGTGATACTTTGGGGTAACCAACTTTCCAAGAAGACTATTACCCTGGGATCCAACCAAGTGAATTTTCCTCCTATTCCTGGGCTCCTGAGTACCTGGTAAGGCCAGGAATCTTTTGAAATACCTGTTGGTGAGAGGCCCCACAAATGGATTGACCAGAAGTTGCATCAGAGCCTTTGAAGCAAATAGTAGCCCAACCCATATGTTCTCTTCCTCCAAGAACTCTGTGCCTTGCAAGCAGTTGTTTTTATGTGCTGAGATGCCATCAGGGACTGGAGAAGGGATGGTGCCAGAAGTAGCATTTGTCCAAGCTGTGCCATTGGGTGCGCTTTCTTCAACAGCCATGGTGGTGTTATCAAAAAAGGACAAGATGGTTGAAAAGGCAGGAGAAGTGAGGGCATGCTGGAAAGTCATGGTGGGGCCCAGGTGAAGAGAAGTGTTGATTTCTTTGAACTCCGTGTCATATAGGAAGGTGGGCACAATGGGCACTGAAAGCCAAGAAGATGAATGATGAGGGCTAAAGACAGGTTGTATTTTACCTCTAGTGAGCTCAGGGGCATTATTATGAGATTCATGCTTGAGGAAGGTGTCTAAATAACATGATTTGAAGTCTACTAAGAGACTGAGCCTGGGTCCCCTGGTGGCACAAGGGCACAAGGGGTTTAGCACAGCACTATGAAGCTATCTGCAGCCACTGCAGCATGAGATCGATCCCAGCCAGCCAGAGAGCTACCAGACCTCTCCTGGCTCAGCAGACCTCTCCTGTCTCACCACTGCTTCCCTCAGCCATGTATTTCAGTCAGTCTACCGGGCCTGCTCCCCATTCTGTGTCTGGTGAATCATCTCACCCTCTGCACCTCTGGCCTGTACCCCAGTTCTTGTATGCATAAATAAATAAATCTCAAAAAAAAAAAAAAAAAGGCTGAGCCTGCCCAATTATCCTATTAGCTAAAATACCTAAACTCCAACCATTATACAATTGGTCCTTTTTACTCACAGACATTTTTTATTTATTGGCCTATTCAGTAAAATTTACTTAAACTACAATATCAATGCTCATGGAGCTGCTGCAATTTTTCTTGAACATATGCCCAGCAGGGAAAATTTTGAGTTACTGTATGCTCATGTTCCCAGTTCCTTCAGCTTTCATACAGAGATGGCAGAACCTGGAGACAGCAGGGGCAGGACAGTGTCCTGCAAGAGCTTCAGTTCTGGGTCTAGTTGGACAGAGCTTGAATCTCAACTCCTGGTACCAGTCAGTGGGGTGGCCTCAAGGTAATCACACAACACACTGAAGCCCATTTTCTCTTTTGTGAAAAAATAGAAAAGAAAAAAATAGAATCTACCAGGGTGAGATGTTTTCAGGATTTAAAATTATACTCTATATTGTGTGTGTGTGTGTGGTGGGTGGGTGGGTGGGTGTGTGTTTTGCATATTTCCCATAAGAGCAATGATTCAGTATTGGCTAAATTCATTGTTTGCAGCAACTTTATAGAACATAGATGCAATGAATAATGAGAATTGACAAATTGTAATAACAATTTGTCTCAAGAAGGCTCTTATTTAAAAGTTCTTTTAAAAAAGATTTCTTATATTTCTTTCATTTTACCCAGAGGGGCAATATGTTAGCACCCATTTTATGTACTGGCATAACTGAATGCAAAGATTAATAGACTGTCAACTAGAAAAATCAGGACTGAAGGAATGAACCAAAAGAAAAGAAGGCTTTGGTAAGACATATAGAGCATGTTACTTTAGTGGTGCAGAGGCTGGAAAGGCACCACTTTGGGAATATGTCTACTGTCCCAGTGGTCACTCAGACACTCCCTGAGCCTCCTTCTCTTTGTACCTCTGGCATCTTTGCAATGGTTAGCAAGTTTAGGACTCCATTTCTTGCTGTTTCCTTGAACTCCCAACAACCTCTGCATATTTGCAAGCATAGGGAAAAAAAACCCCTCAAGGTAGTTCACTGCTGAAACCTAGCTAGATGTGCGCTGCCATCCAGGGACCAGAGAAAATTAGCCCTCAACAAAAAGACCCGCAAACGTACCCACCACAGTAAGCAGCATGTTGTCCAGGAGCAGAGCAACAAACACCACCACCAGCACCAGTTTCCGGGACTCTCTCCCCTCCCTCAGCAGCCACTGGGGAGCACCCCAAACTGCTCTGAGCATGGCGAGAGCTGGTCTTCTCCAAGTTCTTTGGGATAGTCTTGTTACAGCCTCAGGTCTTCTCAGCCGTTATAGAAGGGGGAAGAAAGTCTGCCCAGAAAGGTGAAACTCACTATTAAAATGAAAAGCAGGGGCCTCCCTGGTGGCCTAGGGGTTAAGTCACAGCACTATGAGGCTATTGTCATCCACTGCAGCACGAGTTCGATCCCTGGCCAGGAAACTACCCACATGGTGCGCAGACCTCTCCTGCCTTGCCTGCTGCTCCACTGAGCAGTGTATTTCAGTCAATCCGCCTATTCTGTTCCCCACTCTATCTCTGGTGAATCCTCTCACCTCACCCTGCACCTCTGGCCTATACCCCAGTTCTTGTATGCATAAATAAATAAATATTTTTTAAAAATAAAATGAAATGAAAGTGTAGAAAGTTGCAAGTAGTAGGATGGTGTTTGGAACCTTTCCATGTCTGTGTCTATTCATTTCTTACACATCTCAGTACCCAATAACTCTACCTGATTCCAAGATCGCCTTTTGAAAACCCGAGCTTACCAGTTTTTTTATATCTGGAACTCATGTTTCTCAAATGTCAGACCTTTGTCTATGACCTTGATGATTTACATCATCTCTGAGGTCTACTTGTACTATCATTTACTTTGTTTATCCTCAAGAACCACTCTTTTTAAAAATTGGAATACTGCTGTTTATGTGTGGTGTCTGAAAAAATTATGGTCTATGTCCATGTGCCACCCAAAAATAACTCATGTACTGCAAGTGTTTCTCATCTGCCCACTGAGAAACACTAACTTAGATCATCCCTTTCATCTCATAGATGAGATATCTGAACTCAGGAGGCAGAGATATTGTCTGGATCACACAATTAGTATCAAATTAGAACAAAATCCTAAGTTTTTCTAACTTGCAGGGTCATATGCCACCATATTCCTGTGCACTGTAGTCCTGGAAGCACTTCTTTCCTTTTGTGTAAGCTATAAACCCCTGCTCAAAAAGATGTTACTTGGTGTAAATTAATCACTGACTTTCAGGATTAGTTTCTACCTAAGATTTCATGACACTAGTCAGCCTGCAGTCTCTGTAGCTTGTTAAATTTCAAGCAAGAGTTGTTTCGAGAAAGAACTTCACTTTCTTTTTTGTGGTTTCTGTGGTGGTATCAACAATACCAATCATATAAATTTTCAAACAGTTTACAGTCATAAAATGTATCAGGATCTAAAAATTGTATACTCTTTGATTTGATAACTCTACTTCTAAGAACCTAATATAAAGAACTGATCAGAAGTACAGCCAAAGATTTATGTTCAAAACTATTAATTGCCAAATTACTTATATTAGTACAAAAATGAAACATTTCAATGGTGAAATAAAAGTAGTTTTCAAAAATAATATTTTCAAATAATTTCAAGGACTTAAAATAGTCTTAAAATAATGTTAAGTGTTTAAAAAGTTTATTCAATTGTGCTTATAGCTGACCTCAGTGGTATAAAAACTAAATATATGTGCACATTTTTATTTTAAAAGACTTGACAGATACATGCCAAAATGCCATTTTTTATAATCAGTGACTTAAAGTATCTTTTTTTCCTTTTCTGTAATTCTTAAATATTCTATAGCTAACTACTTTCATAATAAAAGGAGTAAACAATTTCAAATAATTACACTAGGGTTCAATATTTAATAGCCAGCCTGAAATGTTGGAAATACCCCAAATACTGAGCTACTCTGTTGTAAGGCCAGGGTTAGGGGAAGACACTCATACTGAAAGTCCACCTGGCTATGGGGTCTCCATTGAACCAAATCTCCAGACAAGCTCTAAACAGAAAATACATGCAATAATTTAACATCCTTCATTTCCTGTGTAAATAAGGCATTTCTAATGACAAATTTACTTAGGACCCATAAGAAATGTATATAAAAGAAAATAAGCCAGCAATGGAAAACTAATATGTAAAATGGAATGAAATAAGTATACTATAACAACAGACAAAAAAAAAGGCAAAACAAATCATGAATTTGCCAAAACTAACAGCAAATTTTAGTTGAAAACCACAAATTAGAAGAAAGGATTAAATTTGCCCAGAGAGAAGCAGCTTACCTTATAGCCCATCTGCGTGGGGTACTCCGCGGGGCCCTGGCAGTCGTTAACTGTTCAGCAGGGATTCTGTTCTCTGAAAGTGGATGTGCTGATGGATTTATTGCCACCTGTTATCTGAGGATGGCATGTGTACTCTTTGTCCATAAAGATTTAATTGGTACCTCCAACGGGTTTCGTTTAGACCCTGAGCTCCCTGCGTCAGAGGCAGAAAAGCAGAACTGGAGGGAATAAAGAGAGGGTGGACATTATCCTAAGCAAAGAGGCACTCACTGCAATGTTTTCCATTTGTGCTTATCTATCATCAAACTCTTTAACTCTTGCCTGGTTCTGAATATAAATTGAAGGACAAAATAGAATCCATGCCTGTTGTTCCTGTCCCTTGCTGCTTAGCCAAGAGTCAGAATGTAACCCAACTGCTGCTTTCTGGACAGAAACCAGTCGTAGAATACCCACAGGACATACATGTGTATGTGTGTGTGTGTATACGTGTGTGTGTGTATATATATATATATATATATATATATATATAGTGTGTGTGTATATGTATATATGTATTTATATATTTATATGTTGTTCTCACATATAAAAGTGCCACAGAGATGGCCTTTGATTGTGCATAGATTATGCACTGCCATCTTTGCATGCCAATACTTGTTTAATGCCTAGTACATAGTAGCCTCTAGTAAATATTTCTTGTACTGATGAACGAATGTGAATCCAGATCCCCGCAGTGCCAGAGCCTGCAGGCCATGACAGTGGCTTTGTTGGCTCTGAGGTGCCCAGCTGCCTCAGCCTATTGCCTGCAAGCAGCACCCAGACTGCTCTGATGACAATGACTGGCCCTTGGGTGACGGATTTAGGCCCGGGCTGCATAACAGCTGCTCCCAGGCTAACAACAGGGCTCCAGCAGTAGAGGTTGCCCCTCAATCCTGTGGCTCCTGGTTTGGGGCCACCAAGAAGAGGATTGGGCCTTGCTAGGTTAGCCTGGTTTTGCAGCTGGAAGTTACAGGGAGAGAGGCCCATGGGACCCGGGAAAATATGGCAGAGTCCTAATAGCAGCCCACCCTGCAGTTACAGGAACCAGTGTCCCAGCAGTGCTGCAGGCCCCCTGAATTGACAAACTAGCTCCGCTGAGGTGCAGTGTGCCTCCAGGTCCACTGAGGCTGGCTCCAGCTGTGGTTCCTCAGAGCTCTCTGGCCAAACTTTCAATTTGGCACTTGCAAGGAAGCCTAGAAAGAGAAATGGGAGTAGGGGACAAGGACATGAGAGGAGTGCATGCATTTCTTATTGCTGTTGTAACATTTGCCATAAACTAAATGACTTAACACAGCCTTATTATTTAGCATTCTGGAGGCCAGAAACCCAAATAGGTATAATACTGAACTAAAAATCAAGGTGTCAACACAGCTGTGATCCTTCTAGAGACATACCAACCTTGAAAAAATTGAATATGCATACACAGAGATGTTAATGGAAAATGAAAAGATGGATATAAAACTTTATGTACATTCATAGCAGCATTATATATTAATTGCCAAAATATGGAAACAACCCAAATATTCATGGTGGATGAATAGATAAACAAAAGCTCACACACACACACACACACAAACATGGGTTGCTCACTGATGGGGATACTTTCTGTACATTCTGAGAATTGTGCCATTAGGTGATTTCACTGTGTGCAAATTTATGCATTATAATTAAACAGACCTAGATGTTATAGACTATTACACACCTAGCTTATATGGAAAAATCTATTGGGACCACTGACATAAATGAGTCTATCACAGACTGACTTGTCATTAAGCCAGGCATGACTGTATATGCAATGGATATTATCCAGCTTTTAAAAAGGATAGAAGGGCCTCCCCTGGTGGTGCAGCGGTTGAGCACTGGGCTGCAAAGCTGTCTGCAGCCTCTGCAGCACCAGTTTGATCCCCAGCCTCCGGCAAGGGTCCCACATGGAGCAGCATACCTTTCCTGCAGCGCCCGCTGCTCCCCTCAGCAAAGTGTTTCGTCAGTCTGTCTGTTCTGCTCCCCGCTCTGGCTCTGGTTCTGGTGAATCCTCTCACCCTCCTGCGCTTCTGACTGTACCCAGTGCTTGTATAAATAAATAAATAAATCTTTTTTAAAAGAAAAGAAATAAAAAAGGAAAGAAATTCTGGGTACAACATGGATGAACTATAAAGACATTATTCTAAGCAAAATAAGTCTGTCGCAAATGGACGAATATTGTTTGATTCCACTTAAATGAAGTACATAATTCATAGAAACAGAACGTAAACTGAGGTTTCCATGGTCTGAGTGAGGAGGAAGTAAGGAGTTGCTGCTTAATGGTTATACAGTTTCAGTTTTACAAACCAAAAAACTTGTGGAGATTGGTTGACTATACTTAATACTAATGAACTGCACACTTAAAAAATGGTTGAGGGAATAAGTTTTATGTTAGGTACATTGTACTGCAATTTTCTAATTCTGTACTATGAAATTATATGCCTGTCAAAACTCCAGATACATATTACCGATATACCTAACTTATGTTAATGGCTATGCTAAATTATGCATATTTTTGAATTATCCAAATTCCAGCAGAAAAAAAATTAAATAAAAAGTTACCAGTAAAAAGTAACAGCTCAACAAACAAGTATACAGCTTGGTGGACTCTGAGCTCTTGATAAGGACTAGTAATCTCTACCCAGAAAAGCCTGTTGAGAGCAATCGGAGACTGAAGTGGAAGTTAGAGACTCCTTGACAGTGGTCTGTTACCACACTAGTTTCAGCAGCTGGCACATGGATCTTAGCAGACAGTTTTTTCCCCCAAACCCAAAAATATGTATAACTAATTAGGCCCAGCTCTGGCTATGGCTGGCATGGTCTGCTGGGGTAAACAGGTCTGTGACTCAGACCTGGAGAGTGCTTTTGTTTCTCATTACTTCCTGTTTCTTTCACTGTTCAAATATTTAACAATCAGTTCAGACTCCCTCACGTATCAAGCATATGTCAGTGTTTAGCTCTGGTCTGGAGAGGTTTAGTTTCTGTCGCAGGTTTCTGAAAAGAAGGCTAGGAGTATGCAACTTAATGCCTGTGATCTACCTGGCTTTGTGAACCCTGCAGGAATGAATGGGTGTCCACTAATGTAGAGAATTGCCATGCCTGGTAAAGTGAGGGGAGAATTTGCTTCAGATCCAGAGAGATGAGGCATATTCAAAACCAAACACATAATAAGTTAGAACCCCACTGAATGATCGCGATGCCACATGGTGGCAAATTCAGCAATACATATGTAGACTGGGAAATTCAGCCTGATCCCTAATCAGCATCCTTTCAGCAGCCCCAGTCCTCTGAAGGAGATAGCCTTGCCTAGGGAGATACCAGACCCAAACATATTTAAATCCCAAAACGAAACTTCTATGAAACTAGCTTCCTTATCCTGAGTCAGGTCCCTTCAAATTCAGTCTGCCTATCCTTCAGCCAGGGCTACCAGGGGAAGTCTGTCCCATTAAACCACATAACTGACAGTAGGTTGCCCTGGTAAGGTTTACTCTGGGTGGGGTTGGGGGGATGTCTAAGCCTCATGTTCACACTCCTGTCTCATACTTTCTCCCTGATTTCAACTTGTTTAATCTCTTCTGCCCCAGTGATTTTCCTCCCTTCCTTCTAGTTTTTTCTTGCCTCTCAGTATGTCTTTTCAAAAATGCTCCTTTACTATCAAGTTTCAGCTTGGTCATCTTCCCTGATTATCTGGGTGTATCATCTCTATCAGGTGTGTACCTTGTATCTAAATTAGTGCTTGGAAATTCCTACCAACAAATAGAGCAGTTCAGTAAGAGCAGTGTTAATGTTTCACAGGTTTATTTTTCTGATAAATTAATGCATAGGATCCAACCATTTTTTAAATTGTTTGTATTGAGTATGTGCTACATTTATAACCAGCAATACACATCACATATTATGTAATACAGCAGCTATTCGAAAGGATGCATAAAATGTTATTTGTTGAAAATTTTACTATGGACATATCTAACCCTGATAATAATCCCTTGAATAAATATGATCCCATTTTACAGATAAGGAGACTGAGACTTAGAGAAATTAATTAATCCAGCCACATGCAAATAGCAAATGGTAAAACTCATGCAAACTCAGAGGTACATGCTTCTAAAGTCTATTGTCCTCCTTGATTGTCTTCAATTAATTAAGAAGGAAAAACAAGGCTACATCTCTTATGACAAAGCAAGCATTTTGTTTCTGTGGCAGCCGCATGTGTGTACATCTCTCTAACTTGCTGTCAGTTCAGCTGCCAAATATATGTGAAAACGACTGTGCACATTTGTGTTATACTCTGTGCGTGTGTGTGTATTTACAAGTGAGTTGATGATTTCCCCAAACCTACCTGCCTGTGTCTCCTCAGAAAACACCTCTCAGTCTCACCTGATGTGAGATTGCTCACACAGTGTGTGTTCCGCAAATGCCCCTAAGCCTATGATCTTATTACTCCTGCAAATATTTAATCTGATCTATTAGGTTCTTTTTATACATTTCCATTTCCACTGACACTGACCTTGCTCTGTCTCTTTTCTACATGAGTGAACGTGCTCCATTCAGTGCCTCGTAAGTCATATCTTTCTTGGGAACCTGCCAACCATGCAGTATGGTGACATTCTGCGGCTACTGTTCCTGGTGATAGCCTTGTTAAGCCCTTCGCTCTGCTTCACAAGGGGTGATGTCACTTTTGGAGGTGGCAACAGGTGTCACTTGCTCATTGGTGAACTTAGACACGTTGCTCACCCTTCCCTAGCCTCAACTTCTACACCTTTGAAGTAGCATGATTTTACCTAGCTTGTCTGTGATATTAGTAATAAGGAAGAATAACACTTTTAATGGTTTCAATATTATTGCCCTCTTTTACAAATTATCAAACTCTGAGGAATAGAGAGATTAAATGAACTGCCCAGGATCACAAGGTAAGGGATCAAGTCTGGTTTGGGTGTGTACTGAGTCACAGTAGTGGTTGTTGACATCATCATTATTACTATCATTGTTGTTGTTGTTGTTATTGTTATTGGGACAAACCCAGTGAAATACTACCTAGGTACCATCACTACTGCACACTCCTAACTGGGAGTCTGGAGACAGAGCAGAATCTATTGCCTGACTATGCAAGGGTTTCCAGAGCACAGATGGGGTATCTATGGAATCCCCTCAAGTCCCTTGTTGTCTTAAGTGTCTATACTGGGCAGTGCAGGCTGTGTAGACATAGACATAACTTGGTAAACATGTGCTCCTCTAAGACCTTCTTTCCTACCCAAAAGAATCCCAGAGTTTACCCCCTTTGGAGAGTCTCCAGTGCTGGGCATGGGCTAAGCAAGCAGAAAGCCCACCCTTGAAGTCTGTGCTATGGGTGGGAGAAATGGAGAGAAGTGTGGGTCAGATCATAGAATGTGTCAAAAACTCTGTTTCTAGTCCACTCTCTCAGTGGGTTTATGCTCACACAACTTCAGCATGAACTCATCTGACTAATTACATCCGCGATGACCCTGTTTCCAAATGAGATCACATTCTGAGGTCCTGGGAGCTAAACCTTCAGCCCTGGCATTTTGGGAACACACATTCAACCGATAACTGCCTCGGATATAGCAAGGGGAGAGCCCCCTGCATCCTACATGCCCAGCTCTGCCTATGGCCACAGGCAAAGGTGGTGGGGGGCCTAGAGAGTCCAGGCCAAAGTGGGGTCACTTTCTACTCCAGTGGCCCGGACACAGACCTAGCAGTCTGTAGCCCCATGGCTGCACTGTCTCTAGGAGAGCAACGTGAGAGGCAGCCTAGCAATAACTAAACTTCACAAGCTACCCAGGGAGGCAGCCGGGGAGAAGGGAAGAAATTAATGGCCCAGCTGCCGAGTAATTCACTGAATGCGGCCCTCTCACAGGCATCGCAGAGACTTCAGTATTTGGAAAATGAATTAAATGAGAATGAGAAGCACGAATGTGTTGTTAGCTCCCTGTTACAATGCAGTGTGACATTTACTTTAAAAATCCTGTGGAAGTGGTTAACAAATTCTATTACAGTATTTGCAGAACTTCGCTGCAGCTGCTCTTCCCTGAAAAGGAGGCATCGGCCCACTGAGCACAGCTCAGAAATGGGCCCTGATGCTGCTCCTGCATGGGGTGAGAGTGCACTGGGGAGCCCCTGCAGGCTGGTACCTCCTTCATCTTTCAGAGCCTCCCTGTCCTCCCCTGGAGAAAGCAAGTCATGGTAATACAATCCCTGGTCAGCCATCAGGCCAAAGGATGCATATGAAAGGGAAAAGTATTTAAAAGCAAAACAGCATCTCTGTAAACTAAGACAAATGAATTTGAGAGTTCTGGCTTTTTCCAAGACTTAAGACTTTCAGCCAAAGCATCTGGTGGGCCTCAGTTTCTCCCTCCTGGATATTGTCAGGATTAATACAGCTCAAAAGCATTCGATTTTTGAATGGGAGGTCATTTTGGAGAAACTGCAGTTTGCATATGAAGACGCCTGCAAGCATTTATATTTTACTCAGACTGGGTTCTGAAAAGAGTCAATTAACAGGATCATTTCCACTTTGTTTCCTCAAAAGACAGAAGGGCACTGTCTCTCGGTGTCCAGCTCAGTTTCTCAAAGACCAGAGTCACTTGCATTATATTTAATGAACAGGAAGAACTGAAAGCACTCAAGGATTTAACAGAGGCAAAGTACTATCAGCACCTACGGGGCAGGACCAGGGGCCAGAAGGATTTGGTTGGCTGTTGTAGGAGATTACAAGGTCATGCCAAAGCATTCCCGTACAAACTAGTATAATGATACTAAGGGAACATGGTCAGTGTGCGCTGGGAGGGTGGAGACAAAAAGAGGATCCTGTCTGGGAACCAGGAGACCCAGGAGCCAAGCTGAGCCACAAAGGAGGACTGGTGACTAGACTTCCACCACTGTGTGGTTCTTCTATTTTATTTTATTGTTAAAGATCTACTTATTTATGCATACAAGAGCTGGGTTACAGGCCAGAGACGGCGGGGGGGGGGGGGGGGGGGGGTGTGGTGCTCCAATACTATATAGAAATGG